ATATTTTTTTTTTTTAATGGCTGCTAATTTTTAAAAAATAATTTATTTTTTAATTAGCCATTTTTTTTCACAGATGCATGAACTAATTTGGAAAAACAAAATCCTGGTACATTAATCTCATTCACAAATGCATAGAATTTTAGTTTTATGTTTAATAATTTTTTTTAACTTTCTTAAATGTTTATTTTTTTGTGAGAAAGAGAGAGAGACAGAAGGAGCGCGAGCAGGGGAGGGGCAGAGAGAGAGAGGGAGACGCAGACTCCGAAGTAAGGTCCAGGCTCTGAGCTGTCAGCACAGCCTGACGCAGGGCTCGAACTCACAAACCGCGAGATCATGACCCGAGCCCAAGTCAGACGTTTAACTGACCGAGCCACTGAGGCACCCCTATGTTTAATAATTTAAATTTGTGTTATACTTCACTCAGTTGTATACTAATAAGTCCAAAACACATTTTAGAACCAAGTCTTATGGTCACTGGGAATTTTTTAAAATGACTTTTCAATAACTAGACATTTGTTTCAGAGATGGATGTGGTATGATCAATAAAAATGACTATAAAAATGTATTACAGAAAGATAACCTGTGGGGAAAAGAAATAAGAATTTAAGGAGAAAAAGAATGTATTAAGTTTCCAACTGTTAAAGAAAAACTTGTTTTTCAAATGGATGATGGTGGGTACCAAAACACTGATAATTAAATTCCTGTGCCTAAGTTTAGAAAGTTCCCGTAATTACTTAATTCAAATTCTGTTAGGCTGCAGATTATAAATATCATTTCAAACTATTCTTACGGGAAAAATCTGATACATTAACTTAAATGTAATGCGAGGTCCTGGAGTATTTTCGTTCATCTCCACCCTAAAATAATTTTTGAAAATTTGAGCACTGGTAGGTAGTATGGGGAGTAGGTGTTATGTAGGGAAGAAGGATGTTCTGGGGGCAGAAACTTAAAAACCTGTGTGGTTCAAGGGGAGAAATTATTTCAAAAGGTAGGGCGATAAACAGCATCTAGTACTTTCGAGATCTACGGTTGGACAAAGAACTGAAATGTAAGATTTCATTACAGGGAGATACTTGTAGTCATCTTGAGAACAGTAAAGAGAAGCAGCAGAAGCCAAGGTTCAGGTGATTAGGGTCCCGGTCTTGGCGCAGGATATCTGTAAAATGATGTTAAAATGGATCCTTTCAATTACATCCTCAGCTTCTTTGCCTTTTAGCTCAAGTCAAGCTACATATGTATCACTTCGGATTCTCTTCTCTCCTACTCCCACCCCCGGAACAAGACTTTCTAACTTCTCTGCATATCATGCCGTTATTAACACCACACAGCCGTATGGATTATGTAGTGTAGGAGAGGACAGTATGCACGCTTACGTGGATAATTTTTTTAGCAAGACTTGCATTTTAAAATACCAGTAAGAATCAAGTTTGTTAGGAAGTATATAGGACTGTCCAATTCAGAGGCAAGATTTAATGTTCAGAGCATTCTGGATAAGTCAGTTACCAGACCCTCCACCATAAAATAACAAATGTGTCAAAATAAACAGGGCTAACCCTGGAGTGAAGTAGTGACGAAGGGCTGCAGAATGTAGCCTTTACTCTGAACTTTTACTTGTACGTATCTGTCCATTTCGAATGTGAAAAATCTCTGTGGATGGTAATGCTGAGACTTCCACAGAAGGATGTCTCTACCCATGACTGAGTCTTGTTTCCTGCTTCTGAAGGGTCAGCAATGAACGGGGACTTTCATCCTGCTGATGAAAATTTCAAGTTATAGCCTGGCCTAAATTCAGAGAGTTGAAAACAGAACAAAAAGGACTTTTCAGAAGCAAATATTATTAGACGGCCAAATAAATGGAAGAATAAACGACTTCTTTTTTTATGCCTACAGGCTATTATCTGCTGTTCTCAGAGTTTCAGAGGTTGAATCTCGAGCAATAAGAGCAGACCTCACTCACCTCCTAAGCCCTCAAATGGGCAAAGACATTGTTTGGTTCCTAAAACGCTGGGCAAAGACTTACCTCCTGGTGGATGAGAAGCTATACGATCAGGTCAGAATATAAAACTGGCTTTGTTTGGATTTATGAATTCGACACTTGTGGAAATGAGAATATTTTTCCTGGTGATTTTCTCATCGAGATGTAACTAAGAGCTGAACATCTTCCACATTGAAGAGAACTGTATGAACAATGAACGATTTTAATACCTTTCCTTAGAGCACATCGTTTGATTCAGCTTATTTTGACCATATTAATTTATAGATTACTAGTGGGAATGGATTAATTTACGTTCTTTGTGTTTGGTATGAACACCATGTTAGTGTGTTAATGAGAGTAAAGTTAACTCACATTGGAAGATGTCCGTGGGTTGAGGAGGTTTTATTTTGGACTCCCAGAAATGAATGCGTTTATAAAATTGATGCGAAGTAAACGGTACTCCAGATTTAGATGCTAACTTCAGTTTGATTTTTCTGTGCACTTCTTTTTAAGCTGATCTTTCTGACCTTAAAATTTTTGTTTTCTCCTTTAAGATAAGTCTGCCATTCAGTACAGCATTTGGAGCAGATACAGAAGGTTCTCAGTGGATTATTGGCTACCTCTTACAAAAAGTCATCAGTAACCTCTCAGTGTGGAGTAGTGAGCAGGACCTTGCAAATGACACTGTGCAGCTCCTTGTCACTTTGGTGGAAAGAAGAGAAAGGTAAGGTGATTATTGGAGGCTGATTGTGTGTGTGTGTGTGTGTGTGTGTGTGTGTGTGTGGTCTTTCAAGTGGCAAATAGTTACATGGTCCTAAATGCAAATAGACCCTGCATTTTGGAGCAATGTGTTTAAAAAAAAAAAAAAGACACAGTCAATATCATATTATTGCTATAAATGTAAATAGAGCTTTCTCATGGTACAATTGAGGATTGCTTTGGCTATTCAAGGATTTGGCATCAAAGACTCTTATGAGAAACATATGTGTTTAGTAATTTATAGTTTTAAAAACATTTTAATACACTTTAGTAGTCTCATTTAATTTTTTCAGATATCCTATTATTCTGTTTTAAAGATGAGAAAAACTTGGGGCGCCTGGGTGCCTCAGTCGGTTAAGCGTCTGACTCTTGATTTTGGTTCAGGTCATGATCTCATGGTTCATGAGTTCGGGTCCCACATTGGGCTCCACGTTGATAGCACAGAGCCTGCTTAGGATTCTCTCTGTGTCCGCCTGCCCCTCCCCTGCTTGTTTTCTGTCTCTCTCTCTCTCTCTCTCTCTCTCTCAAAATAAATAAATAAACCTAAAAAACAATAAAAATAAAGGTGAGAAAAACTTGATAATTTAATAATTGTGCAAATTAAGAGTTTTGGTGTTTTCTACAACAAACTCTGGAAATTTTTCCTCCTCTCTCCCTCCCTCTGCGTGTGTGTGTCTCTCTCTCTCTCTCTTCCCCCGTCCCCTCTTTCTTTTTTGTTATTTTTGACAGAGAGAGAGAGAGAGAGACCACAAACAGGGGAGGGACAGAGAGGGAGGGAGGGAGACACAGAATCTGAAGCAGGCTCCAGGCTCTGAGTTGTCAGCACAGAGCCCAGTGTGGGGCTTGAACTCACGAACTGTGAGATCATGACCTGAGCCAAAGTCGGACGCTTAACCAACTGAGCCACCCAGGTACCCCCAAACATTTTTCTTACTATATAGGAATGTGATTGTTATTACTCTTAGCATTGACTGTTATTTATTGAGTTCTTGTAATTTACTGTACTGTTTCAAGCATTTCATATATAGTATTTTATTTAATTTTATTGTAACTATTTAGTTATAGTATCCATATCAGCATGAGAGTTAACGCTGTTATTACTGTTGTTACCCTGTTTTACAGATCTGGTAACTAAATAAGAGAGTAAATAAATTTTACATTGTCATGGGGCGCCTGGGTGGCGCAGTCGGTTAAGCGTCCGA